ATATATTTTTAGTTGTCCAGATCATTTTCTTTCTATTTTTTAGTAGAGACAGGGTCTCGCTCTTGCTCGGGCTGGTCTCGAACTCCTGACCTTGAGCAATCCACCTGCCTTGGCCTCCCAGAGTGCTAGGATTACAGGCGTGAGCCACCGCGTCCGGCCGGTACATTTTAATTTATAAACCATGCCTCAGTAAAGTTGATTTTTAAGAAATTATAGAAAGTCTATTGGGTAGTTCCTAAGATCACCAGGAGGGCAGAGATCTAGGTTTGGGCTCCATGACGACAGTGACAAGACCTATAACCACAGATCAGAACTAGTCCAGTGAAGATGCTATGCCTCTGCCACCCACTCCAGACATTATGACCTGCACCAGAAGCACCACTGCAATGGGGCACTGCCACGCTGGGCCATGCCACTGATTCTTGAGAACCAAGATGCCTCCCCCATCACTGCCACCCCTGGCTCCACACTGGATTCTATGCAACTGCTGCTGCTTTTGTCTGTGGTTTGAGACCAAGTCTGGGGAGGATGCTTCTCATTGACCAACCCCAGGTCACAGTCCTTCCTGTGTGGGAGGGATGAGAAAGAGAATGACAGTCAGCTTCCTGTCAGTGGAAGGTTGACTCTGCTGTGTAACGTGGGGGATTCCCCAGACATTCAGGGCATTCAACAACAGGGTGACTGTATCAGTTTGCTAGGGCTGCCGTAACAAAATACCACAAACTGAGTGGATTAAACAACAGAAATTTATTTTCTCATGGTTCTGGAGGCTGAAAGTCTAAGATCACAGTGCTGGCAGGTTTGGTTTCTCCTGAGGCCTCTCTCCTTGCCTTGCAGATGCTGCCTCTCTCACCATGTGCTCATGTGGCCTTTTTTCTATGCATATGCCTGGTGTGTCTCTTCCCCTTCTTGTAAGGACACCAGTCATATTGCATTAGGGCACCACCCTATGACCTCGTTTAGCCTTAATTCCCTCTTTAAAGGCCTATCTCCAAATACTGTGTAGTCACATTGGGATTAGAACTTCAACATATGAATTTTGTCACAATTAAGTCCCTAACAAACAGTGACCAAAAAGGATGACAATGCTCATTACCCTGACTTACGCTATTTTCTTTCTAACACACAGTATTCCCTGTATTGGGATCAGTGTCCCTTAGGTTTTCAGCAGGATTACTGCTACTCATCCTTCAAAATCCACTTCATTGTCCTCTTCTTCAGAAAACTATCCCTCTGGATTCACGCCCCTTGTTTGCATTCTCCTTGTTGTCTGTATATGCTCCCCAGTACAGCATTTCCCAGACTGTCCCTCCATAGACTGAGCTCAGGGGCAGCAACCGACCCTTTTACATATGTGTGCCAGTGTGTAATGCAGCACAGTGCCTGGCTCTTAGCAGATACTCTACAAACATGTGTTGAAGGAGTTTCTCACCGTTCCTCTTCTCACATTTTCTGCTCAAGTAATGACAAACTGTCTGGAGTTTCCCAGGTGTACCATGTTGGTTCAGGCTTCTGGGCCCCTGCACATGCTACTCCCTTCATGCAAGAAATGACTTGTTCTCCTCCTCGCCAGCCCCAAATGCCTGTGTGTGTGCACGTGTGTTCATAAACATATAGTATAAGGAATAATATCACGAATGCCTGTACCCACGACCCAATGTATGAACAGCACATTACCAGCACTGTTGAACCCCACTGTGAATTCCTCCCTGATTGCTTCTCCTTCCCAACACCCCAGAAATACCCACTATCTTGAATTTTGCATTTATTATTTCCTTCTTTTCTATTTTTATATGTATATTGTTAAATTTTGTATATTTTTGAACTTTATGTAAACATCAT